AGATAAATATTAGAAAAATCTAAACATTAAAAAACAAAGTTAAATTGTCCATTAGGTATCATGTTATAGAAAAATGTCATGGGAAAACATACACTCAATTAAAAAGTGTTCGATACTAAATTTTGTTTTAGAAAATATATGTACAGGGGCGCCTGGGTGGCTCAGTCAGTTAAGCGTCCAACTGTTGATTTGGCTCAGGTCATGATCTCATGGTTAGTGAGATTGAGCCCTGCATGGGGCTCTGTGCTGACAGTATGGAGCCTGCTTGGGGTTCTCTGTCTCCCTCACTTTCTGCCCCTCTCCTGCTCACATGCATGCTCTCTCTCAAAATAAATATTTTATTTAAAAAATATGTGTACATTGATATTGTAATTTGTTTTCTAAAAAGAACATGTGTATGTAGGGAATAGAAAAAATACATGCACACCAATTGTATTACAATGGCCATCTTGGAATGGGAGGAATTTGTGATTATACTCATCTTTGAATTCTATATAGATCATTTTTTTTTAATTTTTTTAATGTTTACTTATTGAGAGACAGACAGAGAACAAGATGGGGAGGGGCAGAGAGACGGGGAGGGACAGAGAGACTGAGGGAGACACAGAATCTGAAGCAGGGTCCAGGCTCTGATCTGTCAGCACAGAGCCCAATGCAGGGCTTGAACTCACCAACTGGGAAATCATGACCTGAGCCAAAGTCAGACGTTTAACTGACTGAGCCACCCAGGTGCCCCTAGATCAAGTATTTTTGCAACACTTTTATAATCAGAGTACAAATATTTTATTTTTTATTAAAAAAAAATTTTTTTTAACGTTTATTCATCTTTGAGAGAGCATGAGCAGGGAAGGGGCAGAGAGAGGGAGACACAGAATCCAAAGCAGGGTCCAGGCTCCGAGCAGTCAGCACAGAGCCTGGAGCCAGCTTCCAATTCTGTGTCTTCCTCTCTCTCTGCCCCTCCCTGCTCATGCTCTGGCTCTGGCTCTGGCTTAAAAATAAATAAAACATTAAAAAAAAAAAAAAAAGAATTCTAATACACAGTTTAAAGTACACAGCAATATATGCTAAGCACCAAACTGTCCTGTCAGTTCTGTCGGAACGTCATAGGGCCGGAGCACTCAAAGACCTCTTCCTTCAAGATACAGAACTCCCACACAATGTTGTAGTTTCCTGTATATGACACAGTAAGTGCTCTTCGGCCATTGTGAATATACCATTTGATGTTCACCTATCCCATTAGATAAATTCCTCCATTTTGGAGATGAGGAAACAGGAGATTTAGAGAAACTTAATTAACTTTATAGGGATCACTGAGTGAGTGGTTGAACCATAATTCAATCTTTACTCATTCAAAATGACTAGCGTTGCTGGCAGAATAGAAGCTCCCACGTTAGGTTCACAAGTAATAGGAGAGCAGGGACCTTGTCAGACTTGTTCCACTGTGACCCCAGGGTGTAACATAGTATATAATGTAGTACATAGCACATAGTAGTCATCAAATAAAAACTTATGTTAATGAATAGGTCACTTCTTTGTCACTACAGTTTACAACTAAAAACTAGATAAACTGCGTTTCAAATTCAGTCAATAAAGGCAATAGCTTGGTATCTACAATTGAAATGATAACGCCAAAATTTTTACATTAAAATAGAGTGAAAAAGTAAGACAAATTTGCGGCAATAGTATACTTTAGTAGGACTATTATTGATAGAGTGTTTTTTATAAATTTTCTTTTACATACAGGTTTACTTAACATAAAACATATACTATAAAAACGAGGGCTGTCTGGGTTATTCTTTCTTTTCAGATCTGTCATACCCCAAAGGAAAAAAAAATATATTAAAAAACAACAAATGGGGCCCCTTGATGCTAGCCTTACAGAAATAAATTATAAATTATACTAAATATGATTATAAAAGTCACTGCATGGGCAGCACCTATATAGAGTAATGAGAAAGATGGAAACAACCTAGAAGCAGAGGCTCACTGATTTATTATGTAAAAGGGACCAGATATTGCAATAGAAAAGAACAATACTGAATTTTTTTAGCCAATTCATGAGGTTGCCTAGGAAGTTAGTTCTACTAGAGTTAACAGAAATAGAGTGCTGTATTTGTTAAAAGCCAAAGTTAAGGTGGAATGCTGTATCTTTTTTTGAAGAAAATTTGCCTGTATTGCCTTATTGTATGGGATCAAAGTAGGTTTATTTTACTGAAATTTAAACTTATATTCATTGAAGTATATGTGGGTTTTTTTGTTTTTTGAGAGAGAGAGAGAGAGAGAGAGAGAGAGAGAGAGTGAGAGAGGGAGAGGGGCTAGGGGAGAAAGAGTGTCTCAAGCAGGCTCCATGCTCAGCACAGAGCTCAATGCAGGGCTCAATCCCATGATGCTGGGGATCATGACCTGAGCCGAAAATAAAAGCTGGACACTTAACCAACTGAGCCACCCAGGTGCCCTCTATGGAATTTCTTCACAGCCATACTGTAACATTTTGCAGAGTTTATAGCTCCCTTGAAATAAAATTCTAATTAAAATCACATTAAAATATATTTCAAGCTTAAAATTACAAGATCTGAATTGTAATGTATATTTATGTCTATTTGATTATACAAATAATACAACCTTATGGTAATACATTTCAAAGTTGAAAGACCCAAGACTCGACTCTCCCACAATCAGTGGTAAAATCACATTACTGCTTTCTTACGTGTTTTTCCCAAAACATTCTAGGTACACAGATGTAATAAGTACCTGCTGCTGCACGCCCCCTGATATTATCTACTATTGCTATTTTTTTCTACTTAGCAATATATCTTTAACAACATTCCAAACACATAGATTTTTTTTTTTTTTTTTTTTTTTTTTTTAGTATTTATTTTGAGAGAGAAAGTGTGCATGAGCCGGGGAGGGGTGGAGAGGGGAGGGAAAGAATCCCAAGCAGGCTTTGCACTGTCAGAGACCAACATGGGACTCATGACCACAAGATCAGAACCTGAGCTGACATCCAGTGGGATACTTGACTGAGCCACCCAGGCGCCCATCTTGTTTCTAATAGCTGCATAATATCCCACCTATCTCAATTCCTCTTTTAATAAACATTTAGATTGTTCCAGCTTATTAGTTATTAGAAACCATTCTGTAGTATCTTTGTACAGTCACTTCTGTGTATATCCATGGGCTATTTGTCTAGATGAGGCTTTTTAGAATTAAATGGAATATACAGGGGGCGCCTGGGTGGCTCAGCTAGTTAAGCGTCCAGCTCTTAATATTGGCTCAAGTTATGATCTCCTGGTTTGTGAGTTCGAGTGCCACACTGACCATGTGGAGCCTGCTTGGGATTCTCTCTTCTCTCTCTCTCTCTCTCTCTCTCTCTCCCTGCTCTTCCCCTACATGTGCACATGCACTCTCTCAAAATAAATAAAAATGGAATATACAGTTAACATTTTGGAAAGAGATTGCCATTATGGCTCTTCAAAAGAAGATTGTACAAATTTATACTTTGATGTGTCTTCTTTGCTGGGCTAGGTCAATGTGGTATTAGTGTTTTAAGAAATATAATCATGAGAAAGTACATAATTAGTATATAACTTTCAAAACATCAAAGAATTTGGGGCGCCTGGATGGCTCAGTTGGTTGAGTGGCCCACTTTGGCTCAGGTCATGATCTCGCAGTCCGTGAGTTCAAGCCCCGCATCGGGCTCTGTGCTGACAGCTCGGAGCCTGTAGCCTGCTTCAGATTCTGTGTCTCCCTCTCTCTGGACCTCCCCCGTTCATGCTATGTCTCTCTCTGTCTCAAAAATAAACATTAAAAAAAAAAATTAAAAAAAAAAATCAAAGAATTTATTAGCAACCCAAAAAAATTATCTGCCACTGATCATATTTCTTTATAACTAAAGTAATTAAAAGTATGGGATGTGAAGACAGATATGGGTTCAAGTCCCAGCTTTGGCATTTAGGACCTGTGTAATTTTGAGTAGGTTATTTAGTCCTTTAAACCTTGATTTAGGTCTTTGCAAAATGGGGGAAATAATAGTGCCTAACAGAATTATGATAAAGATTAGTGTACAAACTGTTTAACGAAGAGACTGACAGGAGTATGTGCTTGATAACTCACAATGGATGACCTAAATGATTTAGCACATAGCAAGAGCATCTATTTACTTCTATTTTATAAAACCAATAGCGAATACAAAAAGATCTCCATCGAACTGATTATTTTCTTGGAGTCTTTGAATTCATAAGAATATAAAATCTTCATCTGAACCCCTCACAGTCATGAACATGAAATCCTGGGCAGAGTTTAGTATGTAACACAATTCATTTGGATTCAAACTTCGAGATATAAAGTTCTAATTAAAGAAGAACTTCAGTAATGAGATTTATCAACTGCAATGTAATCTTGAATTTTGGTAATTCTGGTAATTTATAAACAATTTTTCAGGGGAGCCTGGGTGGCTCAGTTGAGTGTCTGACGAGCTCAGGTCATGACCTCAGGTTCACGGGTTCGAGACCTACATTGGACTCTGTGCTGATAGCTCAGAGCCTGGAGCCTGCTTCTGATTCTGTGTCTCTCTCTGCCCCTTCCTGTTTGCTGTCTCTCAAAAATACATAAACATTAAAATAATTTTTAACTATTTAATTCTATTTTATAAAATTTTATTTATTTTTGACAGAGTGTGAGTGAGCAAGAGGCAGAGAGTGTGGAGCCTGGAGCAGGGCTTGAACTCACAAACTGTGAGATCATGACCTGAGCTGAAGTCGGATGATTAACCAACTGAGCCACCCAGGAGACCATTATAAGCACTATTAACTTGAGAATGGCTATAAAGAACCAAGTGTAAAACTCAAATGTTGCTGTTGATTTCAAGCATTCTTTTTAATAGATGTTAAATACTGAAATTACCTAGAAGTATGATCAGCTCAAATCTCCACTATATATAGGAAATATATTCACTTTGAGACTTAAAACCAACATTTAAAATAGACACCACAAAATGTATCTGTGATTAAAGGTCGAATTTATTAGGAGATTAAGAAATGTATTATACATGGACTATAAATACTGCACAGCTGACTTTATTCACAGTCAAGCACAGAAATATAGTCAGTGCCAACCTATTTTGTGGATACTCTTGTTCTTTTGTTCCAAGAAAAATTTGCACCGTAAGACTTGGACTTGGGTTTTGGAACCTTCTTCTCTTCAATGTCATAGCTCCACCCTAGAAAACAAAAACAAACCCAGAGAAACAATTAAAGAGGATACCTCAAGAGCACAGCAAGCAGAAGCTAACTTTCATAAATTTAATGTTTATCAGGAGTGCAGTTCAGCAACCTGAAATAAACTTAGTAATGTGTTCCCTTATAATCCTGTGCGATAAGAGGGTCCAATATATTGTCTGAAGATGATTTACCATATCTCAAAAGTGTGACCCATGATTTGACTTCTCCTTGCTCAATATTCCTAATTCAATTATCAATGGTTACATATTCGCATAAAATTTTCCATTTCTCCAACATTTAAGTCATTTAACATGTGACTTAATAACTGCAGTAGGGAGCATTAAGCAATATAACCTGTTTCACTGTTTTCTAAAAACTAGTGCCTTTACAACAGTTTGGATCTCACTGGAAGCAATACAGGAAACATAGTTATATACTTATTTATACAAATGACATAGTTGCAGCAGACCATAAAAGATTACTTGCTTCAGTTCTCTGGACTTTGACAGGCTACTGATTAAATACAAAAAAAATTTCAGCATTTGCTTCAAGTGCTATCTATTTAGAATCCCAGGGACATACCTGATAACAATGCACAATTTCTGCCCTCACCAAAGGCCCATTGGATCAGAATCTCTGGTAGGGGGCTGGGACTGTTTACTTCCATGTTTTCTGCTGTGAGCCCAATTCTTCAGTTCTTCTAAGGTATGGAGAACAACTATTCAACATGCTCCTTCTTGAAGATGTAATTAAGTCATCTTTCTATTCCCTAGTCTGAGAAACCTCTTTTACTTCATAAGATTCATTTTCCATACCTGTAATTTATTCTATCTGAGGGCTTTTTTCAAATAACTCCTCTTGAAACATGTGATCCATGGCTGAATCATGTAGCCATGTATAAAATGCCCAAACTGAATAATACAGGTCTAATTAAGTAAACTTGTTGATCTTGTGAGTCATGAGTTCTAGTGCCTCTTGGTGAGTATAGAATTTGCTGCCACAAAGCTTTCATTCAATAGCCCCTTAGAATGCAATTTTGCCACAAAAGTGAAGCCTATGAAAATCAAGTCATCAAAGTATATTACTACTATTGCCTATTTCAGTGTCCAAAAAGAGGAAATAATTAATAATTCCACTGCTAGAACTCCATCTTCCATGAAAGTCTACGTGCTATAAGGAAACTGAGAAGCAGGAAAGCAAATGTAACAAATGGTTTAAAAATACAAATGAGGGGCACCTGGGTGGCTCAGTCAGTTGAGCATCTATCTGACTCTTGATTTCAGCTCACATCATGATCCCAGGGTCGTAGGGCTGGTTGTTGTGCTGTGC